GAGTGTTATGCCAAATTTTGGAACAAAATTTGACTGTTCAAGTCGAAAACAAATGAAGTTGAGTCCTGCTTTAAATGCAGTTCCCAACATCAGCTGTGTAGCCACTATTCGCTCCCCCATTTTGATCAAGAGGTTGTTACTCAAAACAAAAGAAAGGCGAAAGGGAGCAGAGCAATGCTTAGGTTGTGGTGTAGATTCTGGCTCCGTAGAAGGTACTTGGTTTTTTTCATTCTATAGCAAAGAATTGAGAGTCAGGATTCTTGGGTTGTATTCCCAGATTTGCTATTGAATCACTGTGTAACTTTTGCATGTCACTTAACTTCTCTGAATCATCATTTTTATTTGTTGACTACCTTGCGCCTCCGTGCGTGTCATAAGTATTATTTACTATAGCACCCGCTATGTGCTAGGTGATTTCCAAACACAAGAGCCAGTCCCTTTTGAGTCTCTATTTTTCTGGATCCATTTACAGTATTGCAGCATTGGGATTCTTGGGGATGCTTTTCCTTATCTGACAATTCTTTCATTATTTCACTCTTAAAGGGAGACTGTCAACTTAAAATCAAGTCCATTTTTGAAAAGGAAGTCAAAGTAATATTGTATCTGCAGCTACGTGTGCTACCTCTGTTGTGCCAATTACTGATATTTTAAAATTGTGTTTTGCTATTTTCCAAAACGATTAGTAATTTCAGGTGCCAAACCTGAAATTCCTTAAAGGGGCCAGATATCTAAAAAGTGCTGAGTACCAGCTCTCTGAAAATTAGGCTGTTCTAAGGTGTCTCAAATTTGACACCCAAAAATCTGGGCTTTTATGGGTTTCCCCCCCCTTTCTTCTGCTGTATAAAAAGGCTCATACAAAGGAAACTGACTGACTGAGGTTGAAATTCACCCCTGAGCAGAGAGAGCCATCACCAGGCATATGAAGTCCCACTTAAACCCTCAAATAGCATCTTGGTGTTGCATAGCAGGGCCGCCCAGAGGGGAGGGCAAGTGGGGCAATTTGCCCCGAGCCCCACAGGGGCCCCCACGAGAATATAGTCTTCTATAGTATTGCAACTTTTTTTTATGGAGGCCCCCAAAATTGCTTTGCCCCGGGCCCCCTGAATCCTCTGGGCAGCCCTGTTGCATAGGTCATATGTAACCCCTGTACACAGGGGTGAAATTCACTCTTCCTGACTACATTGGGGAAGCAATTAAAAAGAATTGTCAAATATATAGACAAAATGGGGGAGAAAATATCCCGCCCCCTCTTCACTAACTTCTTTCATTTTTAGTATTTTACGTTTCAGTTGTGACAACAGTAAGTTCAAAGTCAGGGGTCAGATTTTTAAGTTGACTGTGTCCCTATAATGCTGTTGTAAGAAGTGGTACATGTTAGGGATGGGTAAGAAACTACATCCCAAAAACTACATCCCAAAAATTGAGAGTTCAGTTAAACTTGGACCAAAACCCAAAACACTCTGGATTTAGTTTTGAAAAACAATAAATACTCCTGTTTTGCCTTTTTTGTTCAGTGCAGATTCTGAAAACAGATTTCTGTTACAAATATTAGATTTTGTTCCCTTTAATAAATCAGTTGAATATAAGGAAAAACTCGAGCAACAGTCATTTATCAACGTGATGCTTTAGTGATTTTGCAGTTACCAATATTTCCCTGTAGAAGTATTACTATATTTCATCTTATACATGGGTATCTGCTAAAACCGGTACCTGAGACTCTGTCACTTGGCATTTCATTTAGCATTAAATGGATGATTTTCCAGGTCAGAAAATTTGTTTTAAACCCAACTGGTATGCCACTCCAGTGATGTTTGAGAGGAATAG